TCCGATAAGACAGAAGGCAATCTAATTACTTGATTATCTCAGCATTATAGACAAGCCAATATCCAATCCTAATCCTAATCCCAATTCCCTTATCCTTCCAGAACGTGCGTCTGGAGATGAGATGAAAATGAATAAGCCTTCTTGTGGTTCCCCGTGAGTGCGAGACGCCTCGAGGATTCTCTGCTGACGGCTGCTTTCCTACAGAAATATCCTGCAGGCGCTGCTGGGTTTTTCTATCGCCCTTCTCAAGGCGATTTCATTGGATAGTGGATGGTAATCTGTCGCATGTACTTTTGTGGGTGAAGTGGCACATTCGTCCCGTTCGCTTCGGGACGGAGCTGACTAACATTAACTGTTGCTTATTACAGTCAAACGAAGGCTGAGATGAACTATCACAGTTTTGAGCTGGCTCGCAATGGTCCGCGCTATAGAGAGATTTCACATTTACTTATACGGAATTCAATTTATTAGTGACAGATTGCAACGCAATCTGGTCTGTGCTGTGAATATAGCTAACCTTAATCTCAGAATCGCGCGATGGACACTCAGTTTGCAAAACTGTCTTTAAATTAATGCATAGAAAAGGCACGAATATGCTACATGTTGATGCCTTTAGTCGAGCAATAGCATACGTAAATGCTATGCTACTCGAGAAATTAGAATACAGGCAATTACAGGATCCGGTTATAAAGGCCATAGCGAACGAACTGAAATTAGCCGACAGCAAAAAATTCGAATTGTTCGACGGACTATACCGTAAAGCACCGGATCGTCCGCGTTTCGTAATCCCTGAATCGATGGTCAATATTACTAGGACATATCGCAACGAGATGGCATATTGCGAAGCTGAGAAAACGTTTCAGGGCATAAATGCTACGTATTGATTCCCATCCATAAGGAAAAAAATAAAAAATCATATCGCTCATTGTCTTACCTGTTTAATGACTAACATTTCGCAAAACCAAGAAGAAGGTGAAATGCAGTTCATCTCGAAAAGGCCGTTCGAGACTTTATATACCGTATGAAGACAACAAATTGCTAGTACAATCCAACGAGCATCATCTGGATCATATCATCTCAGAGAACATCTGAGTATATTAAATTTGCTAACCATGGTTCCAAATCCATTTTCTGAAATCCGTCTTCTTCTAGATAATCTGTAGTTATTACCATAAATATAATATAAAATTTAATTAATATAAAAAACATTTATTATTAATAATAAAAACATTTCTGATTTACAAGAAAGTTATTTCTTTATTTCTTTTAACTGTAAATTTTTTGCCGCTACATTGTTGCTTAGGGTAAAGTATCATCACATTTGTGAACAGAATAAAACCTTCATCCGCTATGATTACATACGGAAATTCTTGTTCAATATCTGATAAGAAACTTGATGGAGGTATATGGTTATTTGTCTCCAAATAATGTTTTAAGGCACATTTGTTCCATATTCCTGTCAGAAACTCGCTCATTTGTATTGACATCAATGAATATAAATCTAAGTTTGAGCATCTACAAGCGCTAAAAATACAATACTGAATTTCTTTATAATATTGGTATCCCTGCGCCTATTAGAAAATTCGTAGGAAACTTAATAAGCACAAGATATCTGAATTTTGTGGTTAATAGCTCGTTCTTTGGTTCATTAGATTTCTTTAAAGATACACAGGGCTTCACCCTAAGCTCCTCTTCAATATATACTTAAAGGACATCAATTCCCACTTCCATCCAGAATCCCGTTTACTGCAATATGCAGACGTCATATATTCTACTCAACGCAAAGTTGAAGCGGCTATTACTTCTGTTCAGAACTCAATTAACAGTATCCACCTATCTTAGAAGGTTGGAACTTTCGCCTAGTAAGTCCAAATATAGTATATTATATTTTCTCAAACCAAAAAACACGCGGACGCTTCTAAATTAACTATTGAATTAACTATTAATAACTTTATAGAATCAATCATATAAATTCTTTGGAGTTTTGCTTGATGACAAACTCACAGATAATTTGCAGTTCAAAGTTTTCATTGAAAAAGGTAAAAAAATCATTAACATCAATTCATCGTTATCCGGTGTAAAATCACACTCCGGCCTTCTCCTCACCACATCTATAGGGCGACTCTAAAAAGTGCGGTCGAATATGGCTCGCAGATCTTCTCTTGGAATACAAAATCATCATTGAATTTTATTAAACTCCTCCGGATTCAATACAAGGCTATTAGGAAGGCGTTGGGTTACTGTGTCTACATATCTATTAACGCTATACTAAGCGAAGGTGGAGAACTTCCCCTACACCACAGATTCAACTTAGCTATCTCTAAGTACGTGGCCAATAAGTTTAGTACTTTGTATGAAGCCCTGCGAGAATTAGAATACGTAGTTTCTCAAAAGAACCGCATAGCGGAGGCTATCAAGTGCTCCAAACTTTTTAAGTCTCTTTAAGTCGTAAGACTTAAACGTCATTTGCAAATCTAACAAAAAGATTATATCATATATTTGACATAAGTAATGTCTAAACCAAATTCATATGTGAAAATTATGTTGGAGTGCGACAAATGTCTGAATCTACAAACGCTCAAACAAATGCTATCAAATAGAAATTGATAGAGTATTATATTAATATTTATATATAATATTTAACGAGGAAAATAAGTTTTTAATTCTTTTCCTCTTTATGAATTTGAGGTTACGTATTTAAAAATACAATTTGCTAATTAATTTTTAGATCAAAGCTTATGTTGTATATATAGAATGAAATAAAATCAAAAACTGTATATTAAAGACTCTAATATATAAATATATTAAAGACTCTAACAAATATAAATCAAGTAATATAACTTATAAATTTCAAATTGCTAAAATTTATTTCGCAATGTAATATTTTTTTCTAAAAAAATACACCTAACATATATGAGTCTGCTACATTCATGTGTAACGATCTATTTTTAGCATATAAGACTATTATCAGTTTTTAGTAAAGTGAAAGAAATTTTCAATTAATAAGGTATTTTTTATTTATTTTAAAAAATAAACAATTCATTTTAACATTAAAGGACGGTTTATAACTCTGTATCATTCGGAATTAATTCTTGGCACTCGGATTGCTCGAAGATCATGTAATTAAACTCGCCATCTGCTAGCTCGCATCTCAGACATTTACATTATCGAACGCACCTAATCTGGACACTGCATTCGCGCGCATGCCCGACCGCCATTAATAGTCAAAACCAGAAAAGTATCGCCATGTTTGCCGCGTAATTTAAATGAATGCTTGCTGTTATATGCGACAATAGAGTTGAAACTATTTAAATAATCCAAGATGAAAGATAAAGTAAAATAGAATTGTATAAACAAGCAAAAATATGTTTAACAGTGTGTCAATATATCTTGCAATCATCTATATAATGATATATCTATATAATATATATTAATCTATACTGCTGTTATGAGAGTCTCTAAACATTTTATTGACAATTATCGCTATTGTTAACTGGTGATAGCCAATGAGAGCCACGCTTTTTTCCGCAGGATTATCCTGTCATTATCACTAGAGGCCTAGAAAAAGAGATGCAAAATTGCATTGGTTGAGTTAGGTAACCATCGCCATTTTAATTCAGTACATGCTCCTAACCTTATAAGCTGATGACAGTAAGCCAAGAATATCCATTTATTTGCCTCACATTAATAATCCATATATTTCTTATCTCAGAATTTATTGGGAAATAACAAAAGAAATGAATTTTCTTCTTTTTGATGTTTTCGTTTTTTGTATACATTTTTACAGTCAAATACATAGCACTTTCTGCACAAAAAAGTTTTCTAAAGAGTCACAAAATCAATATAGCTTTCAAGAAAAGATTAGATTAGATTAAGTTCGATACTAAATATTCACACAAATAAGAATACTTATACTATAATAATAGTTTTTTATTGCACTTCGACACTTTGTATTGTCTTTTCTCTATATTTTTCTCTATATGATCTATGTATATTATAAAGCTATATCTTAATGCATTAGATGCAATAGTGAATTAAAATAGCGCTCTAATTACATGATTCAGACAATCAATTAGATCATATCCACAGAATAAAATTGCGAAATTTGCAAATAGATCTAAGAGAATGATTCTATGATTGGCGATATGCGAATCTGCTTACGCACGATCCGCTGCATGGGACATCACTCTCATAGAAGAAAAAAGAAGCAAGCGGCACGGTTTGTGCGGTTCCTATAATTATCTAGTTAGTTTCTGTCTCGCGTACCGCGTACCGCGCTATATTGCATCCTTATTCTCCCTCGTTTTTTGTGATCAAGGTCTCGTTATAAATGCTTTGAAGCATTTGATGGAAAGAAAGAATTAAAAGATTAAAAGAAAGAATTTTCAAACTGACCAGTTAAAAAATGTTGTAGCATTGCGTTGATCGTATCTTTTGTTGCACTAGTACAAATATGCGGCAGAAACGCGCATATGTGTCCACTATTTTTAGGAGCCGATTGCCAGATTCTGTATTCTAGGAACACTAGTCACGATCAAAATTGATGCTGGTATTCGTCAATTTATAATCACGTGTCCTATTTTGACACTCAAATCGAACGTCAGCACAAAAAATACAGCCTAAAGATGCATTCACATACAAGCGTCAAGCAGCGGAAGCAGCAACCAATCAACGAGGCGATAAGTGCAGTGGCTTAAAAAATATTTTTTTATACCACTGCCATTCATCGTCCAGCTGATTGGTTGCTGTTTCCGCTGCTTGACGTTTGCATGTGAATACATCTTTAGTTTGCTGAATGCGACTTAAGATAGCTTTACATGGCAGCGTCAAGGCTTCGAGCATCGTAAACTTGCTATTCGTCAATTTTGATCATGTGACCTGTTTTTAGCGAATAGTAAGCTCACAATGCTTGACGCTTAACGCTCCCACGTCATAGTACCTTTTACGCTTTGTCTATGGTTGACGGTTGACAACCCTGCTCGTAGGTTAGTTTTGCGCCCGTTCAAATTGATTTGACTGGAGTCCGTTATTTTACTGTGTGATATAAGTATGAATCTCATTTTACATGTATAAAGATTTATTTTGAGAAAATAAGTAAAGCTTAAGTTAAAAACGTGTAATTTATGAGAATTGATTTATTTGACATAACACGCTTTTCGTTAAATTTAATATTTAATATTATATTTAATTAATATTTAATTAATATTTAATATTATATTTTAATGGAATAATCTACAGAGAGATTTTGTCTTGGAAGTTTAATGATTTATAATCTATCTGTAATCTATCTGAATTATAGTTTATCAAGTGATTATATGTGATGAATCCGTACTCTGCGCCAGAAATCAGACAGCCGTCTATGGATAAGTTTCGATATAGTGTACTACTTGCCCCGTTCCAGCCAGCAACAAGAATTGAATTGGAAGCAAAGATAAACACCAATGTAGAATGCTATTTAGATGTGAAAAACACTAGCGACAAGACATTAAACGTATGGGAAATGTATTAAATATTTTTAATCTTCTTTTGTATAGGATTATACAAAAACTATATAAAAAATTTTCAGATATAACTTGGCCTTTTATTCAATTTGTTTCATTTAATAATATTTTTCTTACAGATATCTGTAACAAAGCTACCATCTGTAAAACGTCGGATTGATCTAAGCTTGTCTGAATTAGAAATTCAAGGACATAGCAATGGTACATTATGTATCAAATGGTCACCTAGGGAGGCAGGACGCTGGCGAGATGTGTTGCAACTTACTGATAGTAGGCGAATTAAATATGATATTGTTATAGCAACAACAGCTAAGGATGATAAAAAAAGCAACAAAACAAAAAGGCCAAAATCAAGTGTATTATCAAATATGTCAAGTCTTTCTACATTAACAATAAGCAAACAATCTCATCGAAATAACATATTGGAAGTTCCATCTATTAGTCAGTCCCTATCTTCCTCTTTGACCAACAATCTTGATACACAAATAAAACAATACAAGCTTGAAAACAATTTAGATAAAGAGAATATTTTGAATAAAAATAATGGAACAAAGAGTTATGCATCGCAAACAAAAGATTATAAAGTTGATGAGATGCATTATAACAGACATGATAAATCAGAAAATATCTTGTTCGAGCAAAATATAAATGTGTGGAGTGACAGTAGTATTCTGCCGCAAGTTTTGCTTCCATTAAATGCACAAGATATACGTAGAGCAACATACATTAAAGAAAGGAAACCTTGCAACAGTATATTGAACGAGCATCATAAAGAAGTTCATGAAAATATGAAGTGTAATAAAAACAAGATGCAATCCGATTTTTCCATACTTCTGAATAAATTTACATTCACATCTACAGATGTAATTTCGAGTTCACCAACAAGAAGAGAATCTACAGAATCCATAACTTCTCATATCATAGATAAGCATAAGACATTCAATATCAGTCATCAATTCTTTGATACATCTATGATTTATGATGCAAAGACTATTGCCAATACAGTACCTGTATTACAACCAACAAGTCTGTATAACTTGTCACCAATTAAATCTGATAAATGCTCTCTCATGACTGGTATCAAGGATTTAATTTCATCGTCGCCGATTCAATTTCAACATTACATACCAACAGATTCTAACGAATACATAAACCATTTTATGGTAGACAAAAATCCAAATATTCAAACAACTAATTGCGAATACTTCAGTTTTGAGGTCATTTCTAGGAATGACACAGCAGCAAAGAAGACCGGAGATGTGTATATCGAAATTTCTCCACCAAAGAAGCATTTCTGCTCTAAGATGGTACCAAAGGTGAACAGTGCAAGAATCGGCAGAATTATGAAAAATAATACTTTATGTGATGGTAGGAACAGAAAAAAGTTACAAGTGAACATTGCTGCAAGTGAGCTCTGCCTTTATAAAAAAAATTGTATTTTTAATAATATCAATACTGATGTACATTATAATTACAGAAAATGATGTGAAGAATATACCAGCAATCAAAATAAACAAATTTTCCCTCAGTACTTTGCGTAATACAAAGTGGTATACTGGAAGTGGTACTTCGTCGTCTAGAGATTCGAGTTTCAGAATACGAAATGAAGAAGAGTACTTTATATACGAAACATGTGGATTAGATCCTTTTGCACCATCTACAATAGAGGATCCATTTCTTAAAAAGTAAGCTAAGTTTAGTATAATTCATTAGTATAATTCATTAGTATAATTCATGTAGAGAGAACATTTTATATTAATAAATTTATTTAAATTCAGAATCTATAATTATATGTAAATAACAGATTCTGATTTATAATTTACACTTTATAAATTATAGATTCTAATCTATAGAATATATCTGGGTTTAAATCGCCAAATTAAAAATGTGAATGTAAAATCTCAAAACAAACAAAATTTTTCTCTGCTTGCAAATGCTTTGTTTAAAAGATATTAACTTCTTAAATTATAGAACTAGAAATGAACAATGTTGAAATATCTCTTATTTTATTTTCAAAGATTATTGATAGGCTTCCATTGTGCTATAAGCAACTGTAAACAAAGTTATAATGCAAGCATAGCTAAGAAATTACAGACATACAATGTCAGTTAGTCACTTGTTCTCTCATTAATAAGTGCAATGCTTGTCTGAAGGCTGGAAGCCATAATTTTGAAACATTTAATAATTACATTTTGATTATTGTTAAACAGTAAAGGGAATATACCTAGATTATTTTGACATTCATTTCTACAATTTTATAACTTAAGAAATCAATATCTGTTAAACGAAGCATTTGTGAGCAAACTTCCAGAAGAAATTTTGGTTTTTTTTTTTAAGTCAAAAAAATAAATTCAAATATTTTGAGTTTGAGGTTTAAGTTTAACCCGAGAACATTTTGTATAATATTATATGACATCTTGTATAAATTATAGAACTTTTAGTTGTTTATAATCGTTTTTAATTTTTTTTATTATTTACAAAATTAAATTTTAAAAATCGTTACCCTTTTATTAATGTAAATTATTAATTATTAATGTCCAACTGCAGACTAAAAAATTGATTCTGATTATCTGAACATGTTTATTATTTTATTATAGTACAGTATACTTTAACGAGCCGTGGCTGCTGCAGCAAGAATTGGCGTTTACAAAGTGGTTGAATGCTCTACTATCTTCGCCAGAGGACTTATCTGTTGACATTGAAACTGCCATAGTAGACATCGGCAAAGTATGGCAAACATACAAAGCACAAAAAGATACTGTATTGGCTGAAACCAAAGAGGCTGTATCCGCTAGGTGTGCATTATATTAATGATTAATATAAAAAAGTCTGCTTCTAAAAAACGATAGAAAAATTAATTTTAAATAATCGTCAACCAACAATTATTTAATTTATAATTTTTTTCAGATATCACACGAATACACGATTAAATACGTTACGAAAAGCCGCGAATGTTATGTTCAAACGGGATGAAGTCACACAAGTTCTTTCACGTACCAATATGTATATTACTAAAGGAACTTTGTGTATTAGATCAGATCGTAATCTTCATCGTGATATTGGTGCGTAGAAATAATTTTTTTTTATATTCTTACTTATCTTTAAAATTATCCAATTTTTTATTTCTTATCCTTAATTTTCTTTATGATCAAAGAAAATTTTGATTATACAAATCTTAAATCTTAGATATTTGAATAATATTTTACAGGTTTGCAGAAACTGATATTGAGCTTATTCCTGAGTTATAATCCTCTGTGGCTACGTATCGGTTTAGAAACTGTATACAAGGAAAATATTTCATTACGCTCGAACAATGACATTGTTGGTCTGACTCGCTTCTTATTAACAAGATTCTTTTCGAACCCACGATTGACGAAAATGCCCGGATATCATAAAATTGACTCAAGCCAAAAGTTTGTTACACTGCTGAATCAGTTTAGTTTGAGAAAATTCCTATTTTTAATATATTTTCTGGACTATGCCAAGCAACATAAGTTAATCGGCCACGATCCATGTCTATTTCATAAACGCGCGCAGTACAAGGAAAGTCGTGAAATTTTGCTAAGCTTCTCACGCGAGCTTCTGAGTGGTATCGGCGATGTGACTAGAATGCTACGTGGTCATAATTATGTGCTTACTTATCGACAAACCTACATCGAGGAATATGATTATGCGGTAGTGAATATACGACACGATTTACGTGATGGTGTGCGACTTTGTCGCGTAATGGAGCTAATTACCGGTACTCAGGGATTGACCCAACGTTGTCGGGTACCAGCAATATCGCGTCTCCAGAAGATACACAACGTAGATATGGCATTAAATGCTTTGTGTCAGGTTGGCTATATCCTGGAGGGCAATATAGACGCGAAAAGCATTGTCGATGGCCATTGCGAGAAGACTCTGTCGCTTCTGTGGCAAATCATTCACAAGTATCAGGCGCCGCGATTTGATCGAGCGGTTCGTGTGATCCAGAAGTGGTGGCGGGCGCAACTCTGGTACATTTATGTGAGAAACTTCCTACGCGCACGTAAAAATCTGGCTGCAACAGTAATCCAACGTATGTGGAGGTGCAAACAGACACAGTCATTGCACGTGATCGAAACTGACGGTAATCTTGAGGAACGCAAACGGTACTTATGCATCAGAGCAGCCACGATACAAATTCAGAGATGGTGGAAACAGGTGAGAAAAAGTACGAAGATGCAAGAGCTAAGAAAGAGACATAAAGCGGTGATTGTGTTGCAAAGAAGATGGAAAGCTACATTGTTAATGCAGATGCAACAAAGTCTGTATTACAATCTAAAGAATGCTGCATTAACGATTCAAATCCATTGGAGAGCAACGCGAGTAATGAAATTGCAACGTTCTAAATATCTTATGCTAAGAGATGCTACCAAGATAGTGCAATCCTGGTGGAGGTCTGTGAAAGCCATGCAGAAACATCGTGAATGGTTTCTTTGCAGCAGAGAGAGCTCTTGTATCATTCAAACTTGGTGGAGGCAACATTTGTTGGTGCGAAAAGCACGCAATGATTTTCTGCACAAGAGAGCTGCCGTGCATAACATTGAGAGATGGTGGCTGAGTATGCTCAACAGAAAGAAGTTCTTTCTCTATCGAAAGAATATCATTCTCATTCAGAGAACGTGGAATAAATATCAAATGCGCAAACGAGAAGTCGCCTGTTTGAAAATACAAACGTGGTGGAGAGCCGCAATGTATTCACATAGGTATAAACTTCAGAAATATTCTTGCCTGAAATTGCAACGTTGGTGGCGTAGACTCGTGCTTATGAGACATCAACACTTGGAATTCCTGCAGCTGCAGAAAGTAGCATATATTATACAGAAGAATTGGCGGGCGAAAACAATTAGGAGAGATTATTTGAAGCAGCAACAAGCAGCTTTGCTGATACAATCATGGTATCGCCGTGCCAATTCAGCGAGGGCCATCCGACGACATTACTTAAAAATGAGAGGTGCTGCAACACGAATACAAAACTGGTGGCGCAACATTACGGAAGCTTATCAAGAACGGAGAAGGTACTTACAGCTTTGCAAGAGCGCTGTTTTTTTACAGATTTACTGGTATCGACGTGTCTTAGCTCACGTGGATCAACAGCGATATTTAACGAAGAGGAAAGCATGCGTTATTATTCAATCTTGGTGGCGAATGATCAAAACGAGGAGCGAGTATAAACGGTTCATGGTCCACGTATTAGAGATACAAAGAAGATGGCGTGCAAAGAAAGCCGCTCGCATCATGAGGAGAGAGTATTTGTTAACTCGCGCGGTTATTGTCGTGCAAGCACGCTGGAGAGTTCTGACAGCAAGGAAACGATTCGTCGCATTGCGTCAAGCTACAATAGTCATTCAATCGTGCTACAGAATGAAAGTTGCAATACGGAGATACGAAGCTAGTAAGTATGCTGCGATGGTCATCCAAGCCTACTGGCGAGCTTACATCGTTGGTAGAGAAGAGAGATTGCGTTATCTGTCTTTACGCCAAGCAACAATCATGTTGCAGCGTCGTTATAAGAGAAAGAAAACAGAACGTGAAATGCAATGCCATGTAAATGATATTGCTTTACTTGCTACAAAAATTCAAGATGAATGTGGAGGAACTATCCAGGTGATTACCACGAAACTCACGAGCAGCGACTATTGGCAAAAGAAGATCAATGTATTGCGCAGCTGCAACAGCGTTGGGATGCTGCTCACTTGTTTGTATAGCTTAGGTAAATTCATTCTCATTTGAGGAATAATACTGCATGATTAAGCGTTATTAGTGACAATGATGTTTTAAAAAGACATAAAGAAGAGTTTGGATGAAGAAAAAAATTTATTTTTCTAATGCTATTTTTTACGTATCATTTTCTAAATAATTGATTTTTCTCTTATTTATCAATAATAAATAAATAATTTATAAAATCTATATGAACTTATAACCCCTTATTTTTAGAATTTACTTATTTTGAGAATTGTGCTACCCGAATATTAAAATTGTAATATAAGAGATTAACAAAGTTTTTAAAACGATTTTTAAATCAGCCTCTTCCTTTTGCATTTTTTCTTCAATTTTTTAAAATTGTGCTAACATTGATACTAAAATCTTACTTTTAAATAATGATAAAAGAAAAAGAAAAAAATTATAATAAAAATAATTTTTGACAATTCTGAATACAACTAACGTTTATATTCGTATCAGTTATTCAAATAGCTAAAATAAAACTGCATATCTAATTGTAAGTTGTGCTATCTTAGCATAAGACTTTATTCTTGCGCGCTATATTAGGGCACAAGAGTAAAAAATGCCTTTTTAAAACCATATTGTACTGAGGATTTCAAAGATTGTGTTGACTTGTGTTAATCTAGTATACAACTGAAATATGTAATTTTACTAATATATGTAATTTTTACTGTTTGAAAAACTTATGCGAATGTAAACATAAATTATATTCAGAATTGTCAAAAATTATTTTAGTCATAAAACTTCTATTATTATTATTATTTAAGGTAATACTATAGCACAATGTTAGCACAACCTAGTACAATTTTTAAAAATTAAGAAAAAAATAGGAGTTGATTCAAAAATTGTTTTTTTTTGTATTTTTTAGTGTATTTTTCATATTACGATTTCAATATTTAAGCAAAATGCAGCACAAACTTACAATTCTCAAAATAAGTTTTAAAAATGGGAAAGGGGAGGTAACTTTGTATTTATAAACGTGGGCGCCAACTTTTGTTGGGAATGTATGAATTACTTTACACGTTAGAATTTTCGTATGTGAAATTTCACACATGAACAATTTTTTAAAATAACTAGCGTTGAGCAGAAATAGTTAAATTTTTTTTGTAACTTTTATTTCAAAATTTCAATTACTGAGCGAACCGAGCGCGGCTTAATAAAATATTTTTACACAATTCTCCTTTCTTTTATAACATAGTCCATATTGTCCATAAATAATGCTCATGTATGCTTAATGTTCATTTCTATCATAGATAGTAGATATAGAAATGGGCATGTTATTTAATTTTAAGATATAAACTCGAGAATAACAAAAATAATGAAGGACTAATGAGAGTTTTAATGCAGTAATCAATGCAAAATAATTTTTATATTATCTATTTATAACAAAGTTGATTTAGACGTTTCGACTGTACTTCAAATCATTACTCCATTATGTCAAATTTTGCCTACTCATGGTAAAACGGACGAGAAATAATCCAAAATCGTTTCTGTTGACACATGGTTCAAAAGTTAGATAGTAACGAACAGCGTATCAAAGCAAAGCATGAATCATATCGAAAAAATAAAAATTGTCAATTATGACAATTCATTTCAATTTAAAACTTCAATTATATAATTGATAATTTTCGTTTCTTCAAAATTAGAATAAATTTACAAGCTTGATGACAATATAAATGAATAACAAAATCAATTAAAATGTTATAAAGTACATAAGAAACTGTTGTCAAAAGGCTTCTTATATATTTATTTTTAACATTTTAATTTTGTTATTTATTAACACTCTAATCAATCATGGAAGTTTACTTCATTTTTTCGTTTTACGATTTCGTTATTATAACTGAAAATGATTTAAGTGACTAATAAGGGAACACTACTAAGTGAATCTCTCCGATTTAAATGAGCTTTTAGCTCATTGTTGTTCTATGGACAATAATAAGAGACACATATTTTTTTATATTATACATGCTGAGTCGCACGTTAAGGAGATGAAATCCCTTAAAAAAAATCGATTTTTTTCTTTCAGATTGATAATATCATCGAAACTGTAAGAGATAGAAAAAAATTTTCAGAATGAAAATCGGCTTCAAGAGCTTTAGAAATAATATATATATTAGGTGTGGGAAAAAATTCGTGGCGTTTTTAATGCCATCTAACGGGAAAAACGCCACGAACTTTTTTCCACACCTAATATATATATA